AGTAAAATATATATATTATATACCATTGTAATCTGCATAAACTGACAATTGCATCGGTGTAACTCTTGGATCTCCAATGATTAACATATATTTTTAAATCTGATAATAAAACAACACTTGAGGACGTTGTACGGGTGATATTAGTAATAACTGTTTGTTTTTCATATTTGATGGTTAAAAAAATACTATATCACAGTCATAATTGCCTCTATAACATTTTGTGCTATAAATTAGTTTGTTATCTTGTAGGCCTATGATAAATAAATTATGTAGAACTAATTTAAACAAATACATTTTTGTTTTATGAAACACTAAATAATTATAACTCAACGTTTTATTTCTCATTATATTTAGTCAATAACATAAATTTCAATCTTAACAGCAATACAGTATATGTTACCGTTGTTAATACATCAATAAAGAAATATTAAAGTCAATATACATATATAATATTTATCTGTAGAAATGCTATTACAGTACTTTTTAATTCAGTTGTGCTCGGGGTTTACTTTATCTGTTTTCATTTTCTTAATGCTGTTTTTAGTTTTTACTATCATTTTATTTTTTTGCCTTATCCCTGTTTAATTTGTCATTGAAATACTTGGAATAAATTAGACCTATGAAAAAGAGAAAATCAGACCTATGAATTGATTTTAACCATTTTTCACGATTAGCAGCCTCGGGCGGGAATCTGAACACTGGCACTGAGGGGTCCTTCGTAGTATAATTGCTTTTGCATCCTGGGACACAACTAGGGGTCTCAATCCTGGGCCTTCAATCCAATCCCGGGATTTCGGGATTCGTCTCAGCCGATCCTGGGATCCCGGGATTATACAATATTATGATTTTTAAACTTTTAGCCATTTTAAATGAGTGAGAAGTCCCCTCGTTGAGTACTTTAATGTTTTAAACTGGCCTTACCAGTGTTACACTGCGGAATTTCGCCGGAACTTTCATCACCCGTCTTTCTTATTTATAGAGTATAAATTTTGATATGTCACTCTAGAATATAATAAATACATTTAAAAATCGCAATCGCACGTAGCCTATACGTCATGCTAATATATAGATTAAAGATATCTAAGATGAAAAGATTAAATGGGAAGAATCACGAGCGACAGCGTAAAAATGTTATTTTGACTGACAGCAATAAAACAATAAAGATACTGTAAAATAATAAACCATCTGCTTATATAGTAGCGTGTGTATGAAAAACGTAATTTAGGATTGTTAGAAATTTAATCACCACACTAATAACCAAATACGAAGATAAATTTATATAGACCCTAAATATAAGCAATCTTTATAATGAAATTATAATGGTGTGTTTATAGTTATATTTTATGGCTTCAATGAAAATATTACTTCAATTTCCGATTACAATGTTATATTTTTGCTACACGAATTGCGATGTTTACGTTTAATGTCAAAAGTAAAACTCAAAATAATTTATAGGCCTACTGTAATTAAGTTATAACTAATGTAATAACATTTACAGAAAGTAAATCCAAATCGTCTAAAAACTGAAACATATATTTACATTAGTTCGCCTATTGTGTTTAATGATAATTTAATTTTCCAATCAAAATAGATCATTGCTTATACCATTTCATATAATATATTTACTGTATCGTCCTAAAAATAAAGAGTATATGTGTTTCAAGTGTTATTGGACGTATTTGTATTTATTTTCCGTAAGTAAAAGTCCCCAAATTCACAAAAAATAAATATAAACATAGGTTTTGCGATCCCGTTTATACCGGGATTAAAAGTCACCAATCCCGGGATTTCTAGGTATAAAAAATCGGCTGGGATCCCGGGATTGAGACCCCTAGACACAACACGACGATGGCATGATGTATAAATACACTAAACTTCATTATACAACAACACAGAGCAGTGGGTATTGGCGTCGCACAACGTTGTGTCTTACGGCGGCGAGGCGCGGAGGCGGGCTCAGTTCGGCGACATGTGTGACGTAGCGCCCGAAATGGAGGGGGTAGCTCCGGCCAGAAAGCATTAGCGGACAGGGCGACATGTGTAAACTGCCTACCATTCGCTACGGCGGCGCAACTGCACTTACAGCGTTCGCATAAACTGTGCGCTGAAATGGGTCATAATTATATAAATATTCTGAGAAGAGAATATCCTGATGGCTGTGGTTACGGTTGTATTGTCCGAGAACTGACGACCCTAGTCGTTTGGTCGCGGTCGTGGTTAGACGTTCCAGCACCTCACAGCTCTCTTGCATTTGTCTTGATCTGAAGCCAAAATAAGTTAACGTATAGTGGTTTAAATTACCTTGTTCTGTCCAAAACGATCCTATGTAGTTCGTAGTGACTACAGCTGTTTCGTGCTGCAGGAGCACATCATCAGGTCGTGAGAATGTCAAGCAGTCATTAGATATTCCTCATGATGGAGTTCGTCAAAAGTTTATAGTGGTAAATAAATAACATAGACACGACATAAAAACACAAAAACACGAAACTGAACATTTAACACTGGTCGACCAGGCGGTAACGAAACACGTGATACGGCACCGGCTGAGGGTAAGTCGCGACTGTAAAAACGTGAATTTCCTATATATTGCTTTTACAATCGAAATAAACTATACCGAGCTGTGTAGTTAAAGAAGGGTAGTAAAAGTTTTGCAGAATATTGTTCACACATTTATTTGTACTGTAGTTTAAAAATAACTACGGATAAAAAGGCTTGACTTAAGTCGAAGAGTTGTGGTAAACATCTTGTTCATGAAGCATCAATATCAAGTTATGTATATTATTGCCACACTAAAATATGTGGTTCGATTTTTAGATCTAGTGCAAATGTAATAAGGTTTTAAAAAGTATGTCTGTACTTTTAAGAATTTTCAAATTGAGTGTGGAATTTTTATACACACATAAGTGCGACTTATACACTGTATAGTAATAGTTTTCTATGAAATTTAAACCCATTATATATATGTAAAAAGGGGTTTACTTCACTAAGTAAATAATAGATGTGTTTTATAGAGCAGATCTAAAGAACGACTATTCTCTTCCGCGTTCTCTTCACGTTGCGAAGCACGGGTATAGCAGCTTCTTAAGTATGTACAGTAGTACCAAGTATAATTTATGGACCTGTATATCACTTATCCAGTATCCATCACAGATTTAGTATTTACCGTCTAAAGACATATCTACTTTTCAGCTTGAAACTGTAACTTGTAATCTCTGTATAAAGATTAAGTATTATGTAGTCAATGCTTTGAACTACTTCGTTCATCCTATATTATAGGCCTACTTGGAACTGGGTATAGTATATTTCTACTTTCAGTCATGAAGAATCACAGGCATATGTTTTCGGGAACGTCTGTAACCAGGAAAGCCTTTATCCCTGCCACAAAAAAGCCTTGGAGCCACCCCCTATAGTGAGGCGATGGAGGGTGGAGGGTTGGCGACAGTGACAACACCGGACAACACACACCCACGTCAACATAGGTCAGACCAGACCTGTACATCTAGGGTATACGTTATTGTAAAATGTGTCAATCACTGGACCCATCTGAAGAGCTTTTAATTCAGAGATGATTTTACTTTTAAGAAGCTGATTAGACAAATGAAATTGAAATAATTTACAATAGGAAGAAAACGTTTTAGCTTAGTATACGGTTATAAATGTTTCTACAGAAAATGCCAAATTAAATATTTCTTTTGGTATTGGCCAAGTAAAAATATTTTGTTCTAAATACAGTACCGGTACTGAAATATTATCACAATGCCTTTCATTTTCGTTTTTCTACCCTCCTACCCTTGTTCATACATTTTCACCTCAACTACATAAAGAGAATCCCTGTACTCCCTGTTTTTCCTGTAATCTTCATAGTGGATAAACCGATTAATAAATAGACGATTTTATTCCAGCGTTCACCAGAGTGGAATATTTGTATTGTATGCATTTATTTATTTAAATGCCACTTATTTTGGAAAATTATATGTGTTATGTATGAACATTTTAAATACCAAAACCTTAAGAAAATATTAGTCCAACTGATATAAAAAATATTAAAAATAGTTTCCGAATATGAATGGTTTCAGATCTACAAAGCGGATGTGAAATGTGTACCGAGATACTTCTTATCATTTGTCCACAATCCCTCTAACTTGACCTTGACCAAGTTCATCTATTGTAACATTCCTTTACTGATAATGGCAACCAATAAATGCTTAACAGTGTTCTCGAATGAATGTGTTGAACAATGAATAAGTAACTACTGTATATCTTCTCATTACTCACTTACTTCCAAATTGTAAACATCTTGTAATAAAAACAAACGTGCGACTCTTTTACTACAATTTAAGTGGCCGGCATACAGTATAACAAATTTGATTTGCCAGTTGCATTGTAAAATATACCAAATTTTACTTTTACTACATTTGGTTAATTAACCCATATTTTGAAGCTTATAGCCTATGTGTTGAAGATGTTAGGTTGTATTGTTGACTATTGGGTTGTAGATAGAATAACATTTTATTATTGACTTATATAAAGTGTAAATATAAAGTCAATGATTTTATTGTTGAATCCCGTTATGAACCGTCGTGTCGAAACGAAAAGCTATTGATTTAGTCTAAAATCAAAACGGGCTGGATAGGCCTAGCTTAAAACAGTCAGGCTAGAATTGCTATAAAATGATTGCTGTTTAAAAAGTGCCTTTATAAGTGTTATTTTCTATGAATCCCAAATCAATGTATCTCATTGTACACACAATACCAACTATCGTAACTTATTACTGGCCAGTCACCGTCGTATTGTTGCTACCACGATGTGTGTTGTGGTGGCAATGGTAGGGAAATGTGGCGAATGCTGATGTACATTCCATCCAAGGCCTCGCCTATGTTAGCAGGTCGGGTAGTAGTGTGTGGTGGGGTGATGTTTTGGTCCCGCTGTGAGGGGGAGGGGGAGACGCGCGACCGGTCTCACTCCACTCTCCACTCCTCAGTCTAGTGTTTAGAGTGTTTACGGAGTATTGTGCTCTCAAGGTTGGTCAGTGTTGCTCTTTAACAGTTCGTGTTCGCGTTGTTTACTATTTTGTTTTCTTTTACTTCTTCAGTAGATTTTTACTCTCGTGTTTTTCCGAACGTTTGTTAACAACCGCTCTTTATTATCGTTTGTTTTGTGGATTTTATTATTCTTGGATTTCCTCTAAACAAGGTAAGATTCCATTTTTTTCTGTAATAATGGTTTACAAAATAAGGTTTTCAGTTTAATTTGCTATTTAAAGGCAGCATGGGAAAAACTAATTAACTTGTATGCTTACAATTGAAGATTTGCGTGCCAGGTGTGTGTTCGTGACCCGGCATTTTATCTCTCTCGTTATATTTACGTTTGTGTTCAGTGAGTGTAATATGTATGCATTTGTAATTCAATCAGGTTATTTTGAAGTTAATACTGTCAACTCGGCCTAAACAAGTTATACTTAGGCTACTGTAATATGATTTAAGTTGTAAAATACAGAAAAACTCATGTTCCTATTCACCGCTGTCAGCTGTCACGACGGGTTTCACGATCAGAAATTGATTTCAATACAGTATAATGAAATAAATGAGTCCGACATGGCCATTGCCACAGAAGTAGTATTTTAATCAATTATGTACTTGATTAGATAAATGCACAGCCTATTCATAACGTAAAAACATTTACGGCATCGTATAAAGTAAAATTACAGTTGGATTCAGTGGGTGATGGGTCCCCGATAAATTGTGTTCGGTTGTGTTCAACAACTAGATAGGCTACAGAAAATAATTAATTGTGTGTTTAATAGTGTAATTGTAATAACACAGACAATATAATACTTTAATGTTTATTCCATTGTCTGTGGTAATAGTAGCATTGTTACCTAATACAAATAGAATATATTGTGATGAGTTTGGCTGAGGTCATTGCCTGATGAATTTACTGTATGTTGTATGGATGGTTGTATGTTGTACATTTATAAGTAGCATTGTTGTTTTGTTTTCGTCGTGTAGGTTGTTAATGAGTTTGACTGAGGACCCCGATGTATTTACTGTGAGAGTTTACTTTACTTTAATACTTTCTTGTTGTATGTTGTACATTAGTAGCATTGTTGTTTTCGTCGTGTAGGGTGTAGTGAGGAGAGTTTGACTGGGGTCAATGCCCAATGCCTCATGTATCCGAAGGCAGTGCTCATATTTATGCCTCACGATACCGTCACCGACTACCACTACCATACGGGGCGATGTCTACTTGTACCGGCGTCTAGTTGTACCTGCTGCATTTTGGTGACAGGCGTCTAGTTGTACCCCGTCCAAAGCTGTAGAGACAACTTGACGATGGTGCGGACGTCTAGTTGTACCTACGACTAGTTGTCTCTACGTCTAGTTGTACCTCTTAAAAATCTACAGGTATAACTAGTCGGGAACGTCGCCGTCTACTTGTACCTCATACGTCTGCGTCTACTTGTACCTACGACTAATTGTACCTACGACTACTTGTACCTACGACTAGTTGTACCTACGACTAGTTGTACCTACGCCTACTTGTACCTACGTCTAGTTGTACCTGCGGCTAGTTGTATCTCCCCTTCAACTTGTCACCAGTTTAAGGGATTTATTTTATTTCTTTAAAAATCATACAATCTTACAACAATTTATTATAAACAACTTGCTACAAAAGCCAGGAAAATTTGGCTTGTCTGCAGCTCATTGAGAAACCCATGTTCTTGACAACAACGTACTTGTGTCCCTTGGTCAGTCCTTATCCATATTACACTTTGGTTTTCCTTATTTCTTGTCAAGATCTGCTATCATTGTTTTTTCCACTTAAACTGTACCTTTCTATAGAAAACTAACATTAACTAGCTTAAACAAAAACTTTAAACAATTATCTTAAATAAATAAATTCAGAGTTTACAAAAACAAATAATTGAGTATAATAAAGTGTTTTTGTACGGTATTAGTCACGGAGAATATTACAAGTTCAAATTAAATATGTATATGTTATTCTTATGGATATTACGTAAACTGGCGTAGTTTGGTAGTTGATGCATATACTTTGACAAATTAGTTTATTTCACACTTAACTACTAAATTAGGGATATACTGCTTGTATATTTAATGATATATATAAATGTTTTAATTAAATAAGCGATTTTCTGTACCAGGGCTGGAAAATTTTAATCACATCTATAGCTGCCATTTCGACCCTGGACAGCAATGCGTAGCTTTCAGCCTCCAATTAACGTCTGTAAAACTACTAAAACATCGTATTGCGGTGAAAAATATTTGCCAATCATACTCAATCGACTCGGAACACTGCAGTTCCTGATTTAATTAAGGGTATTATTAAAAAGTACTCGTGCAGTAATCAATTAAACAGGGTAACGAATTGAAGGATAGATACAACTAGACTATAAGGACGCAAAATAAGCGTAGGTACAACTAGACGTAGGGACTACTAGACGGAGGGACAACTGGTCGCATCCGTACAAGCTAGGTGATACTACTTGTCGGTGGGATACACGTCTAGTTGTACCTACGTCTACTTGTACCTACGTCTAGTTGTACCTCCTAAAAATCTGCAGGTACAACTAGTCGGGTGAGCCACCGTCTACTTGTACCTACGTCTAGTTGTACCTACGACTAGTTGTCCCTAGTTCTCGAGGTACAAGTAGACGGAGGGACAACGAGACGGAGGGACAACGAGACGCGGTCCCTACCACCACTACACACACACATACACGCAAACCTACAGTCAGCTCCTGATCTTGTCTCCGCTACCGATCAAATGGCGAATCTCAATTTCGCTTTAATCATGCCTTGCTTTCGGCCGAACGACTTATTTATAATTTGACTAGGTCTAAACGCGTTTGATCTTGAAGTAATGTGACAAACACCAATTCCAGGTCTGTGTCCAACAGTGTAGAGGGTTTTTTTTTATTGAGTAGCCTGAAAAATTAAGGAGTTTCACTCTACAGGCTGACTACCTGTGTAAGTAAAAGCATTTTCCTAAAAAAATACGCGTTTGATAACTCGTTTGGACGAATTCCTCCGTTTATTTAGATTTGAGACATTTTACGCTGAAACGTGTTTTTAAATAGGAAATTGGTTGGTGTTTAGGTTTAGTTTAGAGTTTGGTATAATTTTTCGAGGATATAGGCTATGTATTTCATCACTAATTATATGAATCTTTTAAGAACGTTATATTTATTTAGCCAAAAAAATTAGCGTTTGGTGTCGAGCCGATGATATCTCCCCTGTAGAGTTATCGGAAATGCAAAACAACCTGTTGAGCGTATAATTCGTGATAACTGCGACAGTCTCGATTAGCCACACAACTTGATACCCATTGATGTAACTAATTAGCCTATCCAGCTAACAGCTCATGAACATGATTCACCCTGCATCAGTGATAAGTTACAGGATATAACTAACGCTACAATGCAATACCCAGATACAGCTTGCTCTTGATTACCACTTCCAGTCCAGAATCCGTTAACATAGGATAAGGCGAATCAGTTTTGTCTCCGTGCAAACCCTCTTTTTCATCTTAATTGGCAATTTTTGTGCATGTTTTTAATCACCACTACAGTCAAATTCTTGATTCGCTAGGTTCCCTGTACTTGTACCATTGTACACGGGATGGTTTGAAACGGATTACAATGTATGTCAGGATGTCACTGAAATCAGTGGGCGTAAAACTAGCGACCCGCCCAAAGCACTCGTTACAACAATGTCTGGGTACCAAACCACCGTAGAGTTCATCGTCCAATGCCATCACGATCGTCGTCTGCCACGCTCGCCTGAGCACATTATATAACAATACCTAGATATCTGGGCGTAGCGAGCACTGAATATTTTAGTGGAAGACTGGACGAAATGCATCTTCGAAGTCCTTGCAAGTCGTATAAGATGTCTGTTTGTGAACATGTTTTACTTCCGTATGTGATGTCGTAAAAAGTAGATTGATGAATTGGTATCCGTTCGTTTTTTAAGTAGCTTTAGTTCAAATATTCTAGCATACCACTCAATTTTCCAACACTGAAATGTTCAAACATTGTTGAAATTTATCGTACTAAAATAATAATAATCCTATAATAATCAGGCTTATATTGAACATTATTGAAATGGAAATTCTTTTGCCAGCCGCTGATATAATTATACAAAATCAGCTCTCATTCTTGGTGTTTCCAAGTCCAAAATGTTTAGCTGCTGACTTAAATTTCTGTCCACATCTGGAATCCATTCTCATTTACCCCTGAGAACCACGTAATCCCTGGATATTCCCAGCCGTCCACCTGTGTCGCCACAGTACTTCGCTAATCCCCAGCAGGGGTGGTCGACCCCTCTGCCATTGTCTGGTGGTAGAAAGTCCTCTGCTCTCCATTGCTAATGGTCGCTGCTCTCTTCCCTTACCTGGCTACAGATTGATTACTGGAGCCACTTTCGCGACATTTCATTAGGACTCGTCGCCGCCATTCGCCATTCGCCACTCGCACACTTTCCACGATTTACGGCCTTTTGTTTTTCCTGATTTCTTGTACTTATTTTATTCAAGACTGTCAAGTAAATAGGTCGCGAGGATATTGCAAGGGTAGGCATTTGGAGTTTCCATCTCACGATGCATTATTCCATTCTTATAGCAAAGAATATTTATAAATGTATTTTTTCAAACTCTTCATCGCTATGTCTACACCCAATTGCGAATAAAATAGCAAACTGCCGATGCACTTAGGCTGTCCCAAACTTCAGCAACAATTTTCTGGTGATTATATAGTTTTTCATACATCAATAATTTCGGCTGTGCGTGACGAAATAATATTGACTATAAGTAAGTAGGGTCCTTGTCCGCATTTTCTTTCGATTTTGCAGTGATTCGGTCCTACGACAAGTAATAAACCGATTTAACGCCTGCAAATTAAACATTTGATGATGGACAAACGAGTTGTGGGACCCAGATCCAAACCTCTATTTGCATACATCATTCAGCAGTGAAAACTACTTTTTTAGGTTAGGCTACATAGTAAAGTGTCATAAAGATTTTCGAGCCTAGTTCATAGTCCTACACTACCTCACTTGTTCCTAGCGTACAAAGGGGTTTAACGCCGAAGTGTTTTAGGCCGAGTGGTTTCAGTAGCCATATTTTACTCGGTGTCAGTGGACACAAAGGCTGGTCCTGGCTATCGCTGCCCCGAG